ATTTAGGGCTGAACTGAGAAGGAATTTCTTCACCCAGAGGGTTGTTAATCTGTGGAATTCCTTGCCCAGTGAAGTAGTTGATGCTACTTCAGTAAATGCTTTTAAAATAAAGGTAGATTTTTTTTGAACAATAAAGGAATTAAGGGATACGGTGAGAATGCGGGTAAGTGGATCTGAGTCCACGAAAGAATCAGCCATGATCTTATTGAATGGCGGAGCAGGCTCGAAGGGCCAGACGGCCTACTCCTGCTCCTAGTTCTTGTGTGTTGTGTGTTCTGATTTCTACTTGTACTTTTGCCCGTAAGGCAAATGGCACTAGGCGGCCCCTACAAAATCATGGACTTACTTCCTGGTCAACATGCAAGGTGGCCTTGGCACCTTTGATACTGTCTAGACCTTCCTGACAAACTTCAAAGTATTTAATTAGGACTTCATTTCCAAATCAAAAAATGTTGGGCCAAACTGGATGAATCTTTCTCAACCAATTTTGCCCTATCAAGCTTGGGCCTGAGCCTTTTACAACAATCAGTGATAACTGAACCAGCTGCTTCTCATAAGAGACCAAAACTAAAGTTGTACCCTTAATCTGTAAAGGTTCCCCAGTATAGGTTCTCAGCCTAGTCGAGGTTTTGCGCAAACTTAAGCATTCAAGTCGAAAGCAAATTTTATTAAAGACTGGTTCTGTGATCACTGAAATGGCCACGCCAGTGTCGGCCTCAGTTAGACCTATGACTATTTAACCAAACCATTTAACAAAATGTTTATTTTGATTGGTTCTGCTTTGGATGCTGCCAACAATTTAACTGTTCCAAACCAGATGTAATTGCATTTTCCATGGTGTGCACTCTTCTGGTTACCAGCCTATGAGTTCTCTTGCTCCATCTAGGTCTAGTGGGACTCTTTTGAGCACTGGCAGCAACTACAATAGCTTGCTGGTCTCGATCCTGAAGAAAATTTTAACCGTTTGGCTGAGTCTTGGCTTTGTTTTGGGGTTTTACTCTGTAGTGACCTAAAGTCCCTCTGTTCAGAATATGTCCTAAGTGAGGTTATGCAATTCCCTTCACTTAATGGTGTACCCAAGATCAGTCAGGCAGGCGATGTTGTCCATCAGAATACCCTGCAACTCATATGCTCCACTTTCCGCACTTTCCAATGATAAAGCCAGTTGTAGTGCCTGTCTGACATCCAGCTGGACACTTCTGCATTGTCACATCATTAATCTCGCATTACAAACAGTCTCTGAGCATCTCATTAAGGGTTAAACCAAAGTCACCTGCCTCTGCCAGTCACCTTAACCTAGCCAGAAAGCCCAATACAAATTCCCCGGTTCTCAAATTGCCAAATAAAACTGAAAGCATCTCAGAATTAGAGGAGAACTGGGGTGTAATATTCCTTAACTATATCCATTAACTCTGAAAAATTTTTCGTATCTGGTCCCTCAGGGAAGGAAAGGTTTCTAATAACTGAAAAAGCTGCAGGTCCACAAGCCATCAGGAGAATTCCTCATTGCTTTTCATCTCTTCCAGTATCTTTTGCTGGGAAAAAAGAACGCATTCATTTAACATACTCAGCCTAATTATCGATGGCAGGATCAAACGAGTCATTCCCAAATAACGGTGTGATGCCAGAAATGTTTACCCTAACTGTTGTGAGTACGTTTCTTCAGGAGCATGTTTTTCTCTTGTTGCTATTGAAATAACTCCGCAGAAGGTCGGTTCCCCATCACCAAATCACCCTTTATTTACATGTCAAGAGCCATTGACACTGTTCCACCTTCCTCGAGCCAGTTCTCAAAGTGAACAGAGCCTCTGACACTCCTGTTTATATCTGTCAGCCAAAGCTCCCTGATTGGACCAGATTAAAGGCCCCTATCAGGGAACTCATATTCTATGAGGTCCACCTAGCTGACCTCATTACAATCACTATATTAGTCAAAGATTTCTTTCAGGAAATATATTTCTGCTGTTTGTAAGGATCTTTAGACCTGTGAGTCTGAGTTCAGTGTTGGAAGTGATTCTGAAAGCTTGGATTTATATGCATTTGCAGAGGCAAGGAATGATTAGGGATAGTCAGCATGGTTTTGTGTGAGAGAAATTGAGTCTCACAAACTTGATTGAGTTTTTTGAGGAATATAACCAGGAAGATTGATGAGGGCAGAGTGGTAAACATTGTTTTTATGGATTTTAGTAAAACCTTTGACAAAGTTCTGCATGGTACCACATAGAACCACATACTACATATGTACCACATACAGCACAGTGGCTCAGTGGTTAGCACTGCTGCCTCACAGCACCAGGGGCCTGGGTTCAATTCTACCCTCAGGCAACTGTCTGTGTGGAGTCTGCACATTCTCCCCGTGTCTGCGTGGGTTCCCTCCAGGTGCTCCGGTTTCCTCCCACAGTCCAAAAATCTGCAGGCTAGGTGGATTAACCATGCTAAATTGCCCATAGTGTCCAGGGATGTGTAGATTAGGTGGGTTATAGGGGAATGGGTCTGGGTGGGATGCTCTGAGGGTTGGTGTGGACTTGTTGGGCCGAAGGGCATGTTTCCACTCTGTAGGGATTCTAAGATACTAAAGTTAGATCACTTGGGATTCAGGATGAGCTTACAAATGGATACATAATTGGCTTAACGGCTGGAGACAGAGTGTGATGATGGAGGGTTGTTTTTCAGACTGGAGGTCTGTGACTAAAAGTGTTTCACAGGGTTCAGTGTCCACTTTTGCTTGGCATTTATACAAATACTTTAGATGAGAATATAGAAGGCATGGTTAGTAATGCAGATGACATCAAAATTGATGGTATAATGTAAAGTGGAGAAGGTTATCTAAGATTACAGAGAGATCTTGATCAATTAGGTCAAGGCTAAGAGTGGCAGATGGAGTTTAATTTGGATGAACAAAAACAAAGTTGCTGGAAAAGTTCGGCAGGTCTGGCAGCATCTGTGATGGAGAAAAGAGAGTTAACGTTTCAGGTCCGGTGACCCTTCCTCAGAACATTTAATTTGGATGAAAGCGAGGTATTGAATTTTTGCAATAGAAACAAAGGCAGGACATATGCAATTTAAAGTAGAGCCCAGGGTAGTGTTGTAGAACAGAAAGACCTAGGGGTTCAGGTACATAATTCTTTGAAGTTTGCCTCATATATAGGTAGGGTGGTTAAGAACGCATTTAGTACGCTTGTCTTCATTGCGCAGACCTTTGAGTATAGGAGTGGGGACACTGTGTTGAGGTTTACAGGGCGTTGGTAAGGCCTATTCTGGAGCACTGTGTCCACTTTTGGTCGCCCTGTTACAGGCAGGATATTATTAAGCTGGAGAGGGTTCAGATGAGATTTACCAGGTTGTTGCCGGGAACGGAGGATTTTAGTTATAAAGAGAGGCTGAATAGGCTGGGACCTTTTTCACTGGAGCATAGGAAATTGAAGGGTGACCTTATAAAGGTTTATAAAATCATGAGAGGGTGGGGAATTTCAAGACCAGGGGGCATATTTTTAAGGTGAGAGTCAAAAGATTTAAAAAAGACATGAAGGGCAGTTTTTTTTTTACACAGTATGGTTCCTGTGTGGAATGAGCTTGCAGAGGAAGTGGTGAATGCGGGTACAGTTGCAGTGTTTAAAAGACATTTGGATGAGTACATAAATAAGAAATGTTTGGAGGGATACGGGCCAAGCACAGGTAGATGGAACTATTTTAGTTTAGGATTATGGTCAGCATGGACTGGTTGGATCGATGGGTCTGTTTCCATGCTGTATGACTCAATGACCCTCTAACCAAAAGTCTCAGGAAGTCCATAAAGCTTTATTATAAATGGTATTTTCTTCCCTTCAAAGGCCATAGAATCATATTTACAGTGGAAAGTTTCATTTTTCTGTTTCACAATTTTGGAGCTACCTGTGTGTAATAGCAAACAAAATCTTCACCATCAACAATTAAAAGCATTTAAGACAAACAGAGTCACTTTCCATATTATAAATACCATATTATAAATATGAAAGGAACCAAAAAGTATGCATTTGTTGAGTGAAGTAGTAGTCAACTTTCTGCAGAAAAGTTGTAAAGTGACTATTAGCATGATGGATTATATTGTGTCCCTGACAGATAGGACAATTTGGGAGCAATTTTAATCTGAACGCACCGTCTGAATACTGATGGGATCAGTTGCAGCTCAAAAGTTTTGCACCCATTTGATTTCACTGACCGTTGAAATTAGGCACTGTACCTGTCTTATTCGTTCAATTGGAGTGTTTCATTAGAAGTATAATATGGGAAAGAGCCTTGAGACTAGTACCAGGTCTTGCACATCTGTGGGCTTATCAATAATAAAAACCAAAAGAACTGCGGATGTTGTAAATCAGGAACAAAAACAAAGTTGCTGGGAAAGCTCAGCAGGTCTGGCAGCATCTGTGGAGGAGAAAACAGAGTTAACGTTTCGGGTCCGGTGAGTTCTGAGGAAGGGTCACTGGACCCGAAACGTTAACTCGACTTATCAATAATGATTTTTGAATGTTGCATTTTTGACGGTCTTGTCTACGTGCTTCACCTTCCGGACTACTATCCAATCCCACAGGTGAATCTCATGCCTCATAATGAATAAGTGTGTGTCCTCATCTGCTAGTATCCAGGCAAATATAACAATATTCAGGATAAAATAGAGAATCCTTATCACCAGTTTCTGCCTTTCTAAAAACAAATCAACAATTCCACTTAACTGGCAAACTCTATTTTAGCTTAAATATACAAGCACTGGGTGAGTACCAACAACAATATGATTTGCCATTTCGTTTTTTTTCCCTTCAATCTTGTGAATGAAGTGGGATGCATTTGGCAGCAATTCAGTTGAAGGATTCATGAACTCTCAGTGCAGTTTATTCAAACCTTTCTACTGGTTAAAAGAGCAGAACAACAATGTGAAAAGGTTTCTGTGCTTTCCTAAAATTCTTAAATTAATTCAAGCAAGTTGCGGCATCAAACCCGTCCTGACCAGAATTTGTATCACACAGATTTCCAGAAGCTGACTCGGATCTGTGGATCAGTGGATGTTATTGTCAGTAACCCTCCATATGTGTTTCATGAAGATATGTCTGGGCTAATGCCTGAAATCCTCAGGTAATTGAACAGAACACATTCTCCTACTTCCTGTAAACCTTATTGATCCACCATTCTTCTCATACCATGGAATGAGGGACAGAATTGTTTCTTCTTTTCATCTCAAAATCTATCTGGGTTCTAATCCTGCCCAATATACTGCAATTAAAGAGATAGTAGGAACTGCCGATGCTGGAGCCTGAGATAACAAGTTGTGGAGCTGGATGAACGCAGCAGGCCAGGCAGCATCAGAGGGGCTTCACAGTGGGGTTAAAACTCACTCAGAGATAGTAGGAATTGCCGATGCTGGAGCCTGAGATAACAAGGTGTGGAGCTGATTGAACACAGCAGGCCAGGCAGCATCAGACCCGAAACGTCAGCTTTCCTGCTCCTCTTATGCTGCCTGGCCTGCTGTGTTCATCCAGTTTCACACCTTGTTATCTTATACTGCAATAAAAGCTTCCTTTCTAATTAACTATTTGTGTCTGTTGTGAATTCTGTGAGTTAGATGATGTTTCCTTAAGTTCACCCAATTGGTTTTATTTAGAACAAACAGAAGTCTACAGGCAGTATGGTGGCATTGTGGTTAGTACATTTACCTCACATGCCAGGGACCCAGGTTTGTTTCCAGCCATCTGTCTTTCTACCAGGTGCTCTCATTTCCTCCCACTGTCCAAAGATGTGCAGGTTAGGTCGATTTTCCATGCTAAATGTGGAATTATCGGGATGGGTGGGATCCTATTTAGAGGTGCAGACTCAGTAGCTGAATGACCTCTGTCTACACTGTAGGAATTCTATATTTTATGAGCTAATGTCTAATGATATAACTGTGATCTCTTGTGTGGGAGGGTCACAGTTGATGTGTACATAGGAACATACAGAATTGAAGCAGAAGTAGCTCATTTGCCCACTTAGGCCTGCTTTGCTATTCAATGAGATCATGGGCTGATCTATTTGTGTTTTGAATTCTCAATTGTTGTAGTAACATACACATTGTGGACTGGAGCTATGGATAGTGAGAGTAATGGATGCAGTGTAATTTCCAACACACGGCCGACCAGGAATCTTACTGCCTGCTACTGACATATGTTAGAAGGATTTGCAGGTTGTTACTCAGTCTGTTTGGCCACATTGTCATTCCATTGACCATCAAGTCTTAGAGTGGAATCTAAACCCAGAGCTTCTGGTCTACAGACAGAGACATTACCCACTGCACTACAAGACCTACAGACAGGATGCTATCCATATGTAAATACTATTTCATGATGATCCTATGTACTCAGAAAATTAAACAGAAGCCTGGCATCTCAAAAATGAGGGAGATAAATCATTGTTACTTCCCCGCAGTTGCTTGTGCTCATCTCCTGCCAGTCATTTGTGGATGCTGAGCTTCTTGAGGCCAATGAATGGAATATTCTATGAAGGGACCTGATCAAGTACACCCTAGAACTTTGTGGGAATCTAGGGAAGTGATTGCTGGGCCCCTTGCTGAGATATTTGTATCATCGATAGCCACGAGAGAGGTGCCAGAAGTCTGGAGGTTGGCGAACGGTCGTGCCATTATTTAAGAAAGATAGTAAGGAAAAGCCACGGAACTATAGATTAGTGAGCCTGACATCAGTGGTGAGTAAGTTGTTGGCAGGGATCCTGAGGGACAGGATTTACATATATTTGGAAAGGCAAGGACTGATTAGGGGGTAGTCAACATGGCTTTGTTCGTGGGAAATTGTGTCTCACTAACTTGATTGAGTTTTTTGAAGAAATGACGAAGAATATTGATGAAGGCAGAGCAGTGGACGTGGTCGATATGGATTCAGTAAGGTGTTCAACAAGGTTCCACATGGTAGACTAATTAGCAAGGTTAGATCACATGGAATGCAGGGAGAACTAGCTATTTGGATACAAAATTGACTGAAAGGTAGGAGACAGAGGGTGGTGATGGAGGGTTGCTTTTTGGACTGGAGGCCTGTGGTGCAAGAAACGGTGCTGGGACAAATGCTTTTCATCATATAAATAAATGATTTGGATGTGAATATAGGAGGTATAGTTAGTAAGTTTGCAGATGACACCAAAATTGGTGGTGTAGTGGGCAGCAAAGAAGGTTAGCTCAGAGTATAACGGGACCTTGATCAGATGGAACTTAATTTAGATAAATGTGAAGTGCTGCATTTTGATAAGGCAAATCAGGGCAGGACTTATACACTTAATGGTAAGGTCCTGGGGAGTGTTGCCGAATAAAGAGACCTTGGGGTGCACGTTCTTAGTTTCTTGAAAGCGAAGTCGCAGGTAGATAGGGCAATGAAGAAGGCATTTAGCACCCTTGCCTTTATTGGTCAGTACATTGACTATAGGGGTTGGGAGGTCATGTTGTGACTATACAGGGCGTTGGTTAGGCCACTTCTGGAATAATGTGTTTAATTCTGGTCTACCTGCTATAGGAAAGATGTTGTGAAACTTGTAAGGGTTCAGAAAAGACGTACAAAAATGTTGCTGGGATTGGAGGCCATGAGCTATAGGGACAGGCTGAATAGGCTGTGACTATTTTCCCTGGAATGTCGGAGGATGAAGAGTGACCTTATATAAGTTTATGGTTAGGGTGAACAGTCAAGATCTTTGCCCCAGGTTGGGGAAGTCCAGGATTAGAGGACATAGGTTTCAGGTGAGAGCAGAAAGATTTACAAGGGAAGTAAGGGGCAACTTTTTCACACAGAGGGTGGTGCATGTATGGAATGAACTGCCAGAGGATATGGTGGAGGCAGGTACAATTACAACATTTAAAAGGCATCGGGATGGGTATATGAATAGGAAGGGTATCGAGGGATGTGGGCCAAATGCCGGTAAATGGGACTAGATTAATGTAGAATACCTGGTCAACATGGACAAGACGGACCAAAGGGTCCGTTTCCACGCTGTAAATCTCTGTGACTCTAAACAAGAAATTCAGAGAGCACAAGGCACTTGAGAAAGTTAGGGGGAAAAATAGCGTGATGCCATTCACAACAAGAAGAGAGTGGTTGGAATTATAAGTGGAAAATCCAGAAGTTAGTTAAAGCAGCTTCTTTACCTGAATACCTGCAGGTATGAAGACTGTGATGCCTTGGATGGTGGCACAGATGGATTGAAAATCATCAAAGCTATTCTGCAGCTTGCGCCAACTGTTCTTAAGGATCGTGGGTAAGTGTGGATTATTCTAATTTTACATTTCAGCATGAATTTAGGAACATAAGACAGTCTGTTATTTCAATGTTATTTTAATGGAATTGCCAACTTGGTGCAACGTGTACACAATTTACTTACCACGGTTACATGAACACTTGCTTCCCCGTGTTAATTATAGTCAACTAAAGCAGGTGAAAGGCATTGATCAGGGTGTCACATGAGACAGTTACAGGCACTGTGACATGTTTGAGTTCAGAAGTATGTACCCATAACATTTCACTTTTCACATCCAAATCTCATTCTGTTCCTTTTCAGAGATTAAGAAAGGTATCATTATAAGGATCATAAAATGTCCTTACTGAGAAAACTATCTGACCTCTGAAATTTTGTTGCGTGTAGACACATTAAGATGCATGCAGCCATTAGGCTAATTGAACATACCCATTGGCATTTTGAGGAACATATTTTTGACAGTCTAAACCTCTAAAATCATTATGGTTGCTGCATGCTCCTCAGCTTTGTGATCCTGAGAGGCATAGTAACTGCTAGAATTGCACATATACTGCAACTTAGGCTGACACCTATAGTAGGGCTGGAGTTTACACTAGCCAGTTACTAATACCCTACTACCCAGCATCTGCATCTGAACAGAAGGCCAAGGGCAAAAGTCAGAGTCCATGAAATATATAGGGCAATACCTTTTTATCCCATCATGGGATTTCCCTGTACCAGCTATTAACCTCAGCAAAATCTAATTGTAATCTTTTGGAATTCACGGAATGTTTCAAGTATAAAGATCTGTATGTAGCATCTAATTCTAACCTCATATCACCTTGCATTGATTTTATTGTACAGAAATACACTGCAATGCTGGTGTTAATGCTCTAAACAAATTTCCCTTGAACTGGTTGATACTATTTGCTTCAGCCACCCCATGTGGTAGTGATTTTCACATGCTCGCCACTCTTGAGTCTATTTTATCATCACTAATAAAATGTCTACAGAAAGTGCTGGAAATAGGCAGCAGGTCAGACAGCATCTGTGGAGATAGAAATAGAGTTAGCACTTATTTTAGATCAATAATTTGTTCATCAGAACCTATCTTTCCTTCCATTTTTGTTGTTTCCATTGTTTGGAGCTCTTCCTTTTTCGTCTATGTGCTGGCCTACTGTCTGGTTTGTCTTCACCACCCCAAAGCACCAGGTTTCTAGTCAGCCCCTCTGATTAGCGGCAGGAATCAGATCAGGAACTGAGCAAGGATTTCTGACTCAAGCCTTCTTTAACATTAAAATGACAGACTTTGCTTAGCAACAAATTAAATGATTGAATTGATTTACAATATTGATAGTTGATTGGCTCAGAGATTATATGGAATGCATTAGGTTTTCTGTCATAATTTTATCAGTGCCAGAGGACTGTTACTGAAGTAAATGTTTTTTCTCCTCTTACTGGGAAGTGTGGATAACAATCCAGATAAGCTTGGACTGTACAGCACGTTCCTGTCAGCACTACTAAGCCCAAAGTAAATAGAATTGATCTACATGGGTAGAATGTACAAGGCCTTTCTAGAAACGAATTCACTAGTTCTCGTTAATCATTTGGCAGGCCGCAGTGCCAAAAATACAACACATCATTTTTATTATAGCACCTTTTTTTAAAAAAACACACTTTTTTCTCATCCCCTTACCATTTGTGAGCACGATGCTGTATTTTGTAGTTCCAGGAGGCATGTTGAGTATGAAGAGAAAGCACTTTTGAAGGGTCTAGGCCCGAAACGTCAGCCTCTCTGCTCCTATGATGCTGCTTGGCCTGCTGTGTTCATCCAGCCCTGCACCTTGTTGTCTCGGATTCTCCAGCATCTGCAGTTCCTACTATCTCTGATTCACTTTTGAAGAATGATGTTTCATCTTGCCTTTGAGTGAATTGTGAAATGTTATGGTGTGAGAACAACCAAGGTAGAAAAGCAACAATTTGAGAAATGAAAAATTTTCATTTGAATAGCTCCTTTCACAACATCAGAATAGAGATTGCAATCACTAAAGTACATTTTTCAAAGATATACACAGAAAGATTCACAGATAATAATGTGATGATGAACTGGGACGAAATATCAGCACATTTGAACAAATTAAGAACTTCAGACATGGTTTGCATCAAATAACAACTACAAAAACATTTAATTGACATTAATGTGCTTTAGGGTGTCCAGAAGCCATGAAAAGGGATTGCATAAATGCAAGCCTTTCATTCTTTAAATCAGTGCTTCTCTGTTGATCTAACAGTTGGACTGTCAGATATTTTCTGTGTTTTTTAGTTAATGTAAACTGCTGCCTGATTCATTTATACCTGTTTTTAATAACTTTGCATCAAGGGTAAAAATCTAAACCAATATTTTCACTTAACCACACTACCTTAAGGTCACTACCTCCACTGGCAAACCATAAGTCCAAGTTTCTCCAAATAATTGCTGGTTTGAGGCCAAAAACGTCTATAAGAGAAAGCTGGTGGGGTTCACTGGATAGTACCTAGAGACAAGGCATATGACCTAATTTCTCATTGAAGCCTATTTGCCATCTCTACAGCCATTCTGCTGTGATCAACATAGACTGGTTTCAAGCCCCTGTACTAGTATAACGTTTTGGCAGATCCTTAGAATGGAAAAAGCCCTCCACAGCCAACTATATTGTTATGCATGAAAACACAGCAAATAATATAAATATAGTCACTTGAAAAATTCCCTGTTTTCCAAATTATGTTGTGGGGTCTTCCACCGACCTGAAAACATTAATGTTTCAAATCCTATCCGATGATATGAATCTATAGGTGTGAGGCTGGAAAAGCACAGCAGGTCAGACAGCATCAGAGGAGCAGGAAAGTCAATGTTTCGGGCCAGAGTCCTGACAAAGCTCCAGCATCTGCAGTCCTTATTGTCTCCATATCCGATGATACCTCAGATAATGCATTCCTTCGGCCGTAACGCTGTGATGTGTTGGTTAAATTGGGGATGAACATATAATCTCTGACTGAAAGGCTAGAATGTTGCAGTTGAGTCAACTGACTGTTCAGCAGTGGAACTACCCACCTGGGTGAACATGTTTCAGCATCACACGAGGTTTCTTTTTTAATGCTTTTACACTTCCTTTAGCTCTTCTTGCAAACAGAATAGGAAAGATTATATTTTTCCCTGAGGCAACAGAATTAAAATGTGGTAACTGTCTCATTGTTTTTTCTGCAATCTTGCTGTGTGCAAATTGATGACCACATTTCCTTGCACCACAAGAATTAGCCTCCCCCTGTGCTGCTTTCTATTGCAAACAACTTGCAAATTTGCTCTTACCTCTCCTACACTATAGTAACAAAGTCAAGATCTACTTCCCCACATGTGTTCTGCATTTTTAAGAGGATTTTTAAAATCAGTTTTAAAAATTGTGACGACAGGGAATCAACACTGTTTTACTGATGGACTGCTAAGAGCTTGAAGTGGCAAATAGTGGTGTTAATTTATCTATCCATTGGGTGGCGCTGGAGATATCTACAGGGACAGAGTTCGAGGCAGCGGGAAGTCTTTTTAATAAGTTTTACTTTGCCTGGATGGGAAATGAACAAGGAAAACTGAATCCTAAATTAGGAAGTTGAAAATAGGTCATATGGACAAAAGAAGCATTCCCAGAAGAATGAGGGGTAGGGATTGGTCCAGGTAAATAATTGAGATCAAAATGCTCACTTTTGTAGGTATAGCCTGTGTTCTAAACATACCTGGAATGTGTCTTACATGAGAGGGGCAACATTTTCAGAGCCCAATATGGACAAGACATGAGACTGGTTTCCAGCCAATAGGCAAGTCCTAGACAGCAGCTGAAACATGTCTCTGCTTCCCAGGGCTGGGGAGCATTAATGATCTGCAATTCATCCTAAAGGGACCCTCTCCAACCGCTGCCCCCACCCCTGACAATGGACCCAGAGTCACCACATATTCTATAATTTTAAGAGAATTTCTTGTCACTTTACCTAACATTCCATGTTCCATACATCCTTTCACTAGAATTCTTTTTATCCTATATTTGCAGGGCAGCTAGGAGTGTTATCTCTGCCTCTGATTTTTCTGGTGCATATGCCATGTGGATACTGGTGTATCTGTCAGCCCCTACCCGCTTCCTCCCCCAACTGAGAATCTTATTTTTTATCTCTACAGTCATATTGAGTGGAGGGGTTGCTCCTCACGATCACAGCCACAATCATGGCCGAGAAATTTGTGACATTTTTAAAATTATTATTTTTTAAATCTTCTCTTCAGAAGGCATCTGCAGCCACACTGTCCCCTACACCTCTCCCACTGGCTTACTTGCAATCCAGCCAAAATAAATGTCAGGTGATTGCTCCCAACACGGTGCAGTTTGAAGATCTGCATTTGATCCTCAAGTCAGGGTTCCAACCTGGAACGGGAAGTCCTGTTCCGTATCCATTTCAGATCATTTACATGCATATCCCAGAGGTGCTTTAAACAGATATTAGGACTTGTGCACGTGTTCTTAAGGGGCCCCTTATCTGTTGTATTATCCCACAACAATATGGGCCAGGACTGGGTATGTCAGTCTTGGGTGGGAGCCAGCCACCACCCAAAATGTGCAGATTGTTTACTCAATTTCCTATGGAGCCTGGAGGAACAGGCTCCACCATCCCCTTGTTATCCTGTGCTAGTCAGTAGCCAATCCTCCTTCCACCCATTCTGCATCCACTTTTATCCCTACCACCCACCCTAACCTCAGCTAATGACATCTGAGATGCTTCCATTGTGTGTTTAGCTTCAATTAATTTCAGCTTTCCTTTTAGTCAGGGTGGCGTCCTTTTCTATCTCTTTGTAATTTGCTCTTTTCTTGTTTGATAAGCTATCCTTGACCTGTACTATTCTCCTCCATCTATTTTAATATTGAACCTAATCATCATGTGGCCACAGTTTTTGCCAAATCAGCTGCATTGGGGTAACCCTGTTTGCTCTATTGCATGATCCAGAACCA